ATATTTTTTGCCATCCCATTTGTATACCGAAATATACAAATAGACCGAAATATACAAATGCATGACCCATTTGTATACCGAAATATACAAATGCATGACCCATTTGTATATCGAAATATGTAAATGCAGGACCCATTTGTATACTGAAATATACAAATGCAGGACCCATTTGTATACTGAAATATACAAATGCAGGACCCATTTGTATACCGAAATATACAAATGCAGGACCCATTTGTATACCGAAATATACAAATGCAGGACCCATTTGTATACCGAAATATACAAATGCAGGACCCATTTGTATACCGAAATATACAAATGCAGGACCCATTTGTATACCGAAATATACAAATGCAGGACCCATTTGTATACCGAAATATACAAATGCAGGACCCATTTGTATACCGAAATATACAAATGCAGGACCCATTTATATACCGAAATATACAAATGCAGGACCCATTTGTATATCGAAATATACAAATGCAAGACCCATTTGTAAATCGAAATATACAAATAGACCAAAATATACAAATGCATGACCCATTTGTATACCGAAATATACAAATGTAGGACCCATTTGTATACCGAAATATACAAATAGATTGAAATATACAAATGCAAGACCCATTTGTATACCAAAATATACAAATGCAGGACTCATTTATATACCGAAATATACAATTACCCAAATACATTATTTTTATGTATATGTATACCGAAATATACAGATTAATAGCCATAGCAAACATAAAGTTTGCTATGGAGCGCAATGATACAAACTATAGTTATAGCATACAAATATAATTTTTATGTTTGCTAAACCTAAAATTTACTCAATAAAAAACAAATATTGGGCCTTTGCTAGCACGGGCACTTATATCTAGTATATATATATATATATATATATATATTAATCTGCTAAAATAACACAAAAACATCTTCTTCTTTTTTAATATAGAAATCACGTAATCGAAGTAACATATAATTTATTCTAATTCAACAATCTTTGTATTCCTGGAAAAGTTAATAGTGAGGTAATATTTTGTTTATGGAAGCAAATTGAATTTTTATATGTATATTGCCCTTCTATTATTACTCAATTATTGTTAATAATTATTCCATATTTTACATAGGGTTTTGTAATTACAAGTCAACCTTTGAAGAAAGAGACAAAATACAGTAATTTTCTCCGATTATAAGTTAGATATAGAGAATTTAATTGATATATTAATTAATTAGCTGAAGCTTGAAAGTAATCGATCTAATACATGTGAATGATTAAAGTTGTTATGCAAAATTAGTCGAACTAAAATTTGTAAAACATATAAATATCACTTATTAAACTGAGAAGCGATTTAAAGTTATTTTTTTTCTTAAAAAGGCAAAAAAAAAAAAAAAAAAAACGTAGAGAAAATATTTCTATCTCAACAAAATATTGATGAATGCTAGGAATTTGACTAAAACGGGGCTTTTCATTTTTTAATATCTAATAAGAGTTATCAGTGGCTTCAAAAATATTTATTGGGGCGAGTTTTGGACGAGTTTCGAGATGGGGCATATCAAAAACGGTGCAGGGTGCAAATTGAAGACGTAGATCCATAGGGCGTAAGTCCTAGAATTTTGGTGCATAAGCTTCAAGCGTAAAAACGTACGCCCTAGGTGTTATTTTTAAATCTTTTTTGCTTTAAATCATATTTATTGTTATTGGGATAATGATATTTCTCAAATAGTAATTGTAATACTTTTTCTTCATTCTTGGTTATTAATACATTTTTCAAACAAAAATCCTAATATTTTTTCTATATATTAAAGGTTATTTATTAAAATTTAATTGAAAGATTTACTTTTGCTAATTTTCTTAGTAATAAAATTATAAAATTGAATATATATGAGACTACACCTGTAGTTCTATAAGACTTACGCCCCATGTCTCGAGGCTTACGTACTCCATACTATATAAAACGTCTCGCCTCACGCTCCCACCTTTTAAAACAACTCTCAATTTATGTCAGTGACTACGATGGTATATATAGTTATATTTTCAAGTATTTTTGGGTCTTTTTTTAGTGAAGTTTTTATTATGCGTCTGGTCATAGATTTTGAGAGAAATATTTGATTTTAAAAAATATAATTTATATCATAAATTCTAAAAATTATTAAAATTATCAATAAGTTTGTTTTATCATTTTATAATAAGTATATTCCGTTAAAAAGTAACCTTATAACATAATTGACGACAATCGACAATAATAAAAACAACAATATAAATAGGGACATAATTGCATACTCAAACGTGTCACTGATTCAAGATAAATTATAACTCATTAAAAATAAGTTTTTTTCTAATGGTGTTGGTTGTAAGTATATATTAATTGGAATTAACATATAATGGATGCTATTATAAAATATAAAAGTCTCCAAATATTAGAATTTGATCTAAATTCTATTTTTTTTTAGAACTTGAAAACTTGAGATGTTGCTAAATATATTTGTTAAATAATGACAAATATTATGATCAAATACTAATTTTTAATTTTTTTTCTCAAATATATTTATGGCCAAACGACACCATAACAAAAATATTCGTAATTTTGGGCAAATGATAAACGAAGAACGGTAGATGTGTTGAGTTGGTATGTCATGTGATTTAAATGAATGGATAACAGAAAAAAACAAATTTAAATTATTTTTATAATAATATTAAGAATATATGTAAACTGATCATATAACGAAGCGTAATATTAAATCTTTTTTTAACTGTAGAGGTGCAAATATAACGGTATATATATATAAAATATAATTTTCATATAAAAAGTGTTCAACTGGTCACTTATTATTACATGCTCTAATTTTGACTGTGAGATTTTGAAAAGTAAATTTTTAAAAAAATAAGAGTGAAAATTGTCTTTTAACTATGAAAAATAGAATAACTTTTGTCTTTAACAGTAAATAAAATAATTTTCCGACGGTATGAATTTGGTCCCAAATAATATCATTACTAGCTAGACATTATTGAAACCAAATTAAAAAGTCGTTAGCTCAAATTTGACCATATAAAACACTGTTAAGAACAAATGAAAGGGATATAAGGGGATTAAAATCTTATTTGTTTTCACTTAATGAAGTTCTTAATCTTAGTTATTTAAATATTTGTTTTTAAGAATTGAATCTTAATATATCCTTAAGTGTGGTTTTTTTTTACAATCACTTAATGAGTTTGAATAAGTCTGAACGATTAAAATCTATAATCATGTCTTAATATAATTAAAATGTCTATTTAATAGTTTCTATAAATATGACAGTTCAGTGCTACTCTATCTACTTTCATCTAGCACCCACAATCACCATTTCAACTACAACTATCACCACCACATACCAATCATAATAGTCATACTCAGCCTAACTGCAACATCACTACCGTCAATCACCAAAATCAATTGTCATCACCATTAAACATTATTTGCAATCATCAACCAATATTACATTCATTATTAACTATTTATAATTACCACCATTAGTTAATATTATATGGCTAACCGACATCATCATTCACCACCGTCATTAGCATCATTGTCATTTAATTACTAATTACCAGTCGTCATCACCACCGACTACAATTAATCATTATTGCCAATCACTACACCATAAAATATTGCCCATAACACCATCATCGGCCAACACCATCCCAAATCGACACACACAATCAACATCGTTAGTCATCATCAATACCAATTATCATATAAAATTTTAAAATATTCTATTGATATAATATTAAATCAATTTAGAATTTTATTTGAATTCTTATATTTATTAATTTTTAAACAAAGACAAAATTTATACATTCAGATGTTGAGAAAATAAATGATCTTTAATTATTTAATATTATCTTAATATAACATCTTAATATGTTGTAGGTACTTTTCAAAGTAGATTCCCTCCCCCCCTCAAAATAGTGATACTTAATTTTGGTACTTTCTATTTAATTAAAATTTATAGGTCAAAATATCCTCAATTATGAACTAATTACAAGGCAAAAATTTATCCAGCGTAAATTATATAGTATCTAATTTGAAAGGCATAAGTTAGAGAACTTTCTTACTCGTCAAAGTTGAGAAAACTAAGAGAGATAATTTTATGGGTTTTGAAACTGTTTATGTTTTGTAAAACATAATTTGTATTTAGTAAATTTTTTCTTGCAAATTTTTTTTGTCATGTAAAATATAACTCGTGTCTTGCAAAAAGTTTTTTGGGTGATGTTAGGACAATTTTCGAGCATCATTTATTACTCAGCAAGAATTAAAGAGGAACTTACAGGAATTTCACTAATTTTAGGAGTTAATTACTTAGATACTTTCTAGTTTGGAATATTACGATTTTACTAGATTTTGGTGCCTTCAGATACATTCAGATTACTAGATACATATATCTCGGATACATGAAGTCAAAATTAGGTGTAATTTATTTTAGATACACTCTTTCAAAGTGGATTCGTATGTATCTAAGATACATAACAAAATTCGCTCGCCTCTCTTCCATCTCCCTAGCCCCTCTCCTATGTATCTGAGATACTAGATACATACGAATCACTCCAGATATATACAAATATATGTATCTAATGTGATTCATATGTATCTAGGATACATACGAATCTCGCTCGCCTCTCTCCCCAATCTTGCTCCTCTCTCTCTCTATTTTTGTGTATCTAATAACAAAGATACATATATCAAAAATACTATATTCACATTTATGTATTTTTTTCAAAATTAAACACCATCCCGAAATAGCGTGAAAGAGCTTGTTAAATTAGTTGGAGGTGCAATAAGCACCAAATAGTAAACATGTATGGTGTATTAAGCCTAACTAATTCACTCACCACCAAATAAGAAAAAGAAAGAAAGTGAAAGGGTATCAAGAAAAGGCCAAGCACAAAAAGATGATAAAAATATGTGTGAAAATTCTTTGATGACAGGGTAAAGCAATCAAAATACTCACCAAAGAGAAACAGCTGACGCCATATATTATTTGGGTAAAAAAATCAGGTATATACCCAAAGAGAGAAAACGCGTAAACTGAGAAATCCAGAGCTCAACTGAGTGTTGTTCAATCCAAAAGAGTTTTGTTTGCTTTCGATTCATCTGATTCTTCAGCTACAGTGGGTTAGTACTCTTTCTTGAGAAACCCCACACACCTACCCGCACAATTCACAGAAAAAAATTGTTAAAAAAGGTTTAAATGGATTGTCAAGAATTTGATTTGTTGGTAAACCCAGATAGGAAATTGAGTTAATTGTATAATCTGTGAAGATTTGGGGAAAAAATGTTCTGTATACATGATTGCTTTTGTTAATCTGTTGATTTTTCTTTACTTTGGTTATAATAATCCTCTTTTGTTTATTGGGGTTTTTGATTGTTTGATTGGAGGGATTGATTCTCCAGAAAGGTCAACGTGTGGGGTGGAGGATTTTGGGGGTGGGTTTGGTTGATGACCTAGAATTGGGAATTGGGGTTCTTGACTTCTTGTTAGTGGGGCTATTGTTGTGAAGTTTTCTGTATGGTACTAGTTTGGTTGTTGATTAGTGTGTTCTTACTGGATTTGTTTTTTGGGGATTATTGATTGAAGTAGCTATTTTGCTGGTGTTTGCATTGCTAAGTGAGGTTCTGCGGTTGGTGAATGGAACGAGTTTTAGTGTGTGAGTTTGGGTTCTTCTTAGTGGGATTCTGGCTATGGAGTTATGCTATACTGTGCTGGGTTCTGTGTTGTGTTGCAAATGTTTATATTGCTGGTATCATCTTGGATTTTGATAAATTGTATTGCTAGTATAATTTAAGGATTGTTATAGAGTTTCTTGAGATACTGTTGCTGGTGGGAGGTGATAGGTAGCCTGTGGAATTAGTTGAGCTGTGAGAAAGCTGGCCCGGAACCACGGTCATCAAAGAAAATAAAAACATATAGAGTTTCTTGAGATAACGTTAAGCATTTGGAGTTTTATGAGCTAGTTTTATGGTAATGCCTTGGTAAATGGATCATCTATAGTCCCTGATATAAGTGGAGTAGTTGAATTGTTGAGTTTTGAGATTTTAAAGGTCATGACAATAATATTCATCATTCAATGAATAATTTTGTATAGTTTAGTTTCTGGGGAAGTTGTGGATAGCCAATCTATGCATCGTCTTATTGAATTGTGTTTGTATTTTTTGCCATTTTGAGCTTTCATCATATCACACAAATCTTGGTTGCCCTTAGACCAAGGTTGACTGGTTATGATTGTTCTTGCTTCCTTCCTGATTTTTCCTTCTTTGCTTTTGCGCTTGGGTGATGGTATCGTGCTCTTCAAAGTGAGGCGAGAAAATACTTACCATTCTGCTTTTGTTGCACTTTCAACAGAAAAACTGCTTAGACTTCTCATATAAAGCTGCTGCAGTCCCTGAATTAACTGGGTGATTGTGAAGAGGAGAAGAATTTTTCATTCTGGTGAACTCATACTTGCACTGCTTAAGACTTTTGCATCCCATGTTTCCTATACTTATCTCTCAGTCAGTGGACTTAGATGGCCATTTCCTCATTGGGGCTACACCGGAAAAGCCAAACTAACCAGTTTCAATTATTAATGGAGCAAGCAGATAACCGTAGCAACAACGAGCATGTTATTGACATAACTAGTAGCAACGATGCATCCTCATCGAGCAACCCCCATGATAGACCAGTTAATACTGTGCTTCATGTCCAAGCTGAACATCCCCCATCAACAAGCACAACAGTGCCTGTCTCCCAACATGCATTTTCTTCTGCTAATAGATCCAACTTGAGGAACTCATCATTTGCTCGAAGAGGAAATGGGCGCCGCCATCGGAGTCCTCTGAATTCCGTGCTCTGGATATCCATTGAACTAGTCTTGACATTGAGCCAAATAATTGCAGCAATCGCGGTGTTGGCCATATCAAGGGATGAGCACCCACGAGCTCCTCTATCCCAATGGATAGTTGGTTATGCATCTGGGTGTGTAGCAATCCTCCCTCTTCTCTACTGGCGTTTTCGTCATAGAAACCAAAATTCAGATCAGGATTCATCTCAGCAGCCACAGATTTCTTCCCAGGTTGAACTCCCCGGCAGACCTTCCTCAAGTACAAGGAGTTCAGAAGGCGAAGGTCGTCAGACAACTGCTACAGCTTCTACAGGTGGTCAAAGTAATGAATTACTGAGCAGAAGGTGGGTAATGTAACTGTTTACTTGGTACTTGTCCTTATTAAACACTCACCTAAATCTTCTAAATTTCAATGCCAGGATTTTCGTTCCTGGCATGTTTTGGTTTAACCCTGCACTTTATGTGCTATTGCAAAACTGGACATGTGCAATCATACAGTCCCTTGATTTTATATGCTGTTCTGATTTGAGTAGGCATAATTAGCAAGATGTGGCCTAAAGGCATCATTTACCAAGCATGTTTTAGTTTGATCATTGGTTTGCCACTTTAAGAGTTGTAAGAAAATTATGGTCATGCAAGTTTAAATATAGAAGTTGTCATTTTCAAGTGTAAAACATTGTGGTTGTTTATACTTGAATAGTTATCTCTCTGTGACAACTTCTAGGAGATTGATATTTCACTACCACTTTAGCTTTGTCAAGTTCACCTTTTGATTACTGTTAGTTGTGGTTTCTAGATTTACGACGTGATAAAATTTTGAAACTTAATTTCTTAAAATCCTTAACAATTGCACCTAAGGGCGTGGCCTAGTGGTTAATGAAGTGGGTTGAGAACCATGAGGTCTCAGGTTCAAATACCAAATACCAGCAGAGGCAAAACCACTAGATGATTTCTTCCAATCTCTCCTAGCCTTGGTAGCCTTGATGGTCAGATTTATCTGGTACGGGTTATCAAAATTTACCTGGTACGTGTTGCTGGTTGGAGCCTGGGAGGTGATAGGTAGGTTTACCATGGAACTAGTCGAGGTAGGCGCAAGCTGGTCCCGACACCACAATTATAAAAAAAAAGGTTCCATAACAATTTGAGACTATAACTTCAATATTTTGTTGAATATCTGTCTTTAAGTTTAAGATTCCCATCTCCTTTTTGCCAAGCTTTAATTGTTATTCTAGAACCAAGAACATTACCTTATTTTGTAAAGCAATAATGTTTTGGGCCTTGATCACGGTCTTCAACTAATTGGGACCAATGCTTAAAGTTCAAATAGATGTTCAGATGATAATATCTGCATTCCTGTGCTCTTCCTTTTCCATTATTTTGCATTCATCTGGTATTGGGAACTTGTAATGAAATTAATGTACAAGGAGCAATGTGTCATGGAACTGAGGACTAAAGGATCTCATTTCCCTATTGCAGGGTAAAGGCATTTATTGAGTACTTCAAAATGGCATTAGATTGTTTTTTTGCAGTGTGGTTTGTGGTTGGCAATGTGTGGATATTTGGTGGACACTCCTCTTCCTCTGAGGCTCCCAACTTGTACAGGTGATGTTTCCCTATTGTTTTCATTTTGGGGTATTTCCATACTTTCTATCCTCTCTGCCAGCATCCTATTTACTCATGTTTCTATTTATTCGCAGGTTGTGTATAGTATTTCTGACCTTTAGCTGTATCGGGTATGCCATGCCATTTATTCTATGTGCAACAATCTGCTGCTGCCTCCCCTGCATTATTTCAGTCATGGGCTTCCGAGAAGATCTGACTCAAAACAAAGGCGCCACACCAGAATCAATTAATGCTCTTCCGACCTATAAATTTAAGGTAAAGAAAAACAAAAGTGGCAACAAAGAGGCTGCTGAAGGTGGGGTTGTGGCTGCAGGAACAGACAAGGAGCGTGTGATTTCAGGAGAAGATGCGGTAAATTTATTTCCTTTCTAACATAGATTTCTCTGATTTATTTTCTGTCCATCTTAGTGGCAAAATTCCTTTTCCTTTAAAATAAATTTTAGTGACAAATTCTCTTTTGAGGAGTGAAGAAACTGTCTGCTTGAACCTTCACCATCCTCCATTTGAAATCAAGACAAAGAAAGAAAAAGGAGAACTATTTATTCTCTCTCTCTCTCTCCCTCGTCACTGCTATTGCAAAGTCATTTCTGTGGTGTACATACCTTCATACTCTGGCTGGCAGTAGAAACAGATTATTTCGAGTTTATTTTAATTTGGTTTTGCATCATAGGTTTGAACCAGGGCTACAATTTCAGAGCTTCTTTTTCTGCTTTTGAATGACAATTGCATCTGAATGGAATCTGAACCCTGTTATGCTCTTTTCATCGGTTCCATTGAGCCACTAAGACGCTAGTGCTGGAAAACAACATTGTATATCCAGTAGTTATTTCCTTTTTCTTCTTCTCTATCCCTCTGGTAGTGGGTTTTGTTACCTGAGTGTTTCAGCATATAACCTCTAGCATTACTTCTTACTTAAGTACAGAGCAAAACGCCAGAGGATCTTTTGATGTCACTCTCAAATTCCACACACCTTGCATTTTAGATGAGTATGATGATGAAGAAGAAGCCACATACTTTCCTCTTTATAGGCTGAGTCCTCCTCTAGACTCATTCTTTCCCACTATTTTCTTGTAAGATGGTTGCTGTTGTTTCTTGTTAACCATATGTTGAGAAGCAAAAATAGGTGAAGGCTTGTGTTATCCATTGTACTTGGATCTAGACCAAAGGTACGAATCATTAAATATGTTAGTGAATTTAGATAACATCTGACAGAAATGGTCTCAAGTTCCATATGCATGTTTGCCTTCAAAGGCCCTTTACGATACAGCTTCAGCACTTCTGCAAGCATACATTTTTGGGTTCTTCATCACCCTGATGCAAGACAACTAAGAAAAAAAAGTTTACTCGCAAATTGTTTATATCTGGTTGCTTGATTCTGCTTATGAAGAAAAATCAATACTTAAGAAGACTTTTTATGCTAATGTTTCGTCCCAGCCCTTTCTACCAAAGTGAGTGGCGCAAATTGACTTTTAACATATTACAAGCTTAAAGATTTCCGCTTAAACTTTGGTTGGGATTACACTGGGTATGTTGTTATTAAACTTTGACTGGGAGATTGTAATGGTCTCCCAAAAGCAAACCACCACTTTGTCATGTCCATAGATTTTTAGATGTTTTGCTGATGAATTGGTGTTAAATATTTTGAGCTGTGATTTCTCTCATTCTGATTGGTGTCTTTCAAGCTCCTGAGTCCTAACTAGAAATATGAACATTCTGACCATTTTCTTCTTCCTTGAGAGAATAGTGTGTATATATTTGTGTGCTGTAGCATTTGAACAACAACCTTCTCCTCCCTTAGTTTTTGAGACGGGGGAATTTCCTTGTTAGTGGCTTTGTTGATAGTAGAAATGGTTGATCAAATGTACTTGTGACTTCCCCTCCCAGTTCCCACTCATCACAGCCTTCTCTATCCTTCCAATTTCCTAGCAGCTTTAATTAGAAGAAATAAATATTTCAGAGCAAAACTTGCTGGAGGATCTTAGGAGGTAAAACATGTCTGGTATGATAACCATACATTGATATGTGAAAGGAAAACTATTGTGTTACATGACTTGGGTGAATATGGAAACCCACCTCAAATGGGTGGAGAATGTAAGGGAGACCCTTTTCTCCAAAAGCTACTCATTAGGGAATACTGGCCAAATTTGTCTTTCAATAAAGGATTTTTATCTTTGAAACTCATTAGCAAGAGAAATACAAGAGAAATCATACAAAAATTAGAAAGGGACGGAAGATACTTTATACGAGAGACTCACAAAAATCTAAGTGCTCAAGCATCCAATCAATTGAAATGAGGGTCAACAAAAAAGGAATAGGACCTATTTTGTTGCTGAAGCATTATTGACTGTATTGTTACTCTTGCAATTGTCGGGATTAATTTGACTCCTTCTCCTGTCCCCATTCATGATACTTTTGAGTTATAGGTAATTTGACTGCTGAAAGGAGTTGTGTGGCTGTGTAATTGCTGAATCAAGGAAGAAGAAAGATGTCAAAGAGCAAATAGTAGGTGGAGACTTGTGCCAACTGCTAAACTAAGCTAAGGGGTAGAGGGTTGCAGAGATTAGCGTAGGAGTTGAGAGTTGGGTGACACATTCACATATATATCCTACATCCAAAATTTACCTGAACTGTGTGGACACTGCCTTTTTGAAGACTGAAGTATTATATAGACCAATCAAAATGGAAGATAAAAGTAATAGCTTACATACTACCTAACCAGTTGCACTCAAAAGTTAATTGCTATTCTTTTCCAACAACTTGCCTTCCAGGTCTTTATCACTCCCTAGCCTCCTGGAGAAACTGCTAGACTACTAATGCAAGCCCAAATCCATAGGGTCAGAATTGAAATTTTGAGAAAGCACCGGTGAATGTAAAATCATCCGCTGCAATCAATCCATAAATTATGTTGAACTACTAGAGATAATTATTCATGGAAAATAGGTCCTGATGTATATTGATATATGCACTTAGCTTTGCATCTCCGGTCATAAAGTGTGAGTTGGTAATAATATGGTTTCTTTGTTCCTTAAAAAAATAATAATATGGTTTCTTTGTCTATCTTCCTGTAATCACCTTGTGACCTGTTCTGGATAATGCATTATCAAATGTAAGGAAACTTTTTGTTTCATGAATAAGAAAATGCAGTGACGAACATGGGTAAACGAGATTTAGCAAAAATATAGGTTCTACTTGAGATCATACTGTCGACCGATAAGTATTTTTGGAACTGTTCTATGTACAAGAAAACAAGCTGATATTCCAGTTCTAGTGCATTTTATACTATCATTGAGTAGAAAGACAGTATGCTTCTCATATGCCTAAGGGCTATGAATGTTCTGAATTTCTGAGTGACATGCTCTGCTAACATGCAGAAACCAATCACCTTCTCCAAAACAAAACTTTTAGCAAACCCTTGTTGCCACAATGCCTTTGATATTGTAATATATTTTCCATTATCTATTGTTTGATGTCATACTATTTTTTAATTTTTTTTTCATTTTCTATTGTTTGACGGCATACTTCCACCAATTCATCTTAATAATCCTTTTTAACTTTGGTTTAACAGGCATGTTGCATTTGCTTGGCAAAGTATGTGAACAATGATGAGCTGAGGGAGTTGCCCTGTTCTCATTTCTTCCACAAGGACTGTGTGGATAAGTGGCTGAAAATCAACAACTCATGTCCCCTTTGCAAAGCTGAGGTGGGTGAGACCCTTTTGAGCTCTCTTACCGAAGCAACTGCAAGTTTGCGTCAGAGTTCCGCGTTTTAAGTTGCCACTCTGCCCACATGCTAGTATAGAGATGTTTTTTAAAGGAATAGTAGTTACCTTCATATATATTTCATTTTCTTCCATCACTCTTCTGATTTCTTTTGGGCTATATGTTGTTAGCTTACTAGATTTATATACAATTTCTGTTGCAAAACATGTGAGGTGGTAAGATTGCTCAGTCAGTAGAAAATGAGCTATCTGTGGCGTCTTGTCCACAGTATCATTGATGTGAAAATTTGGTGCGCGATGCCAATAAGTAAACACATGATGGTATTAGCAATTAAACATATGTAGTTGATGTCATAAGATTTGCCAGTTGCCAACAGCCATGCACTCTTAAGATGTATTATAATCTAGCAGTCTTTTCAGTTCTATTCCTTGAATTGCATTCAGTAGTCGGAGTACTTGGATACTCTTTTAATTTTGTTTCAACAAAGTAAGTTTCTCATAAGGTTGTCTGTCTACGACTCTACTCGTGGGATTACATTGGGCAATGTTGTTGTGGAGTATTAGTTTCTTGCATAAATAATTTTTAGATCAAAAGGTGCTTCGACAAAATGTGTTTTCAAGATAACTCAATTGTCAAGAGGCTGCAATTCTATCATGTACAAGTTCAAAGTCAAAAAACAAAATTTGCTAAACTTAAAGTTGATGGATCAAGTGGAGTCAAAAGTGTTTAAAATTAATAAGGGTAAATTTTTAGATATTCTTTAATAGGGGTTTTGAATGTGGCGAGTTTTGCATTTACCCACCACAACTAAAGAAAATAAATTATTCAATCGGCATAATTTAGAAAGATTATGAAGGTATTAAGATTTGTCTAAGATTTGAAGTGGGAGGCATTTGTAATTATTTAAAATTTATTAAATATAAATTTATAAAATGATTCAGATGAATTAAATTCATGAATATATTAATCCAAATAAATATTATAGATTAATATAATTTGGTTAATTATTTAAATCCAATGAATATGAATTTAATTAAAGTCAAATTAATTGATTTGGGCTACAATAGGTGACCCCAATTTCATCTCATTCTAGAGGCCCATTTTGGTGTCACGTGGCAAATGACGTGGAATGCCAAGTCAAACAAAGTCAATAGGATCATGACATGTGTCAAAAATGACAAGCCCGCTCACTAAGCCCATATGCCATGTCACTTAAATTTGATTGGCCGAAGGGAATCCTGTTCCAATCACAACTCCTCTATTCTAAAACTATAAATAGGGGTCCTCATAATTCAGAAAAGAGACCAAAAATTCTAAACAAGAAGCTAGAGAAAGCCCGTGGTACAAACGTCATAAAATTCTCTATAAGTTTAAGAATTCAAGCATTCAAGTTCAAGAACGATCAAGATCAAGACCATTGAATAAAGTTCAAGTTCATCGAGGATTCAAGAACAAGCTTTAAAGCCCTTGAATCCAAGATCAAGTTCAAGACAAATTCAAAATTAAGCTCAAGAGCCCTTGAATTATAATTAAAAAGGCGAATTCAGAGGAATCATAGAGATCGTAATACTCACACTTTTTAAAAGAAAAGTGCTTCTAAAAATAAATATTTCTTTTAACAGTAATGCCAAATGGACTCTTATTCCTATTAATTCACGGTATTAAACATCTAAAAAGATTTACATAATTTACTAATTTTGGTTATAGTATTAACTTTGCCACTTTAAAATATAGTAAATTTCGGTCTTTTCCACTTTTAAAAACAGTAAAGTTTAGTCTTTGCCACTTTAAAAAAAATAGTAAATTTTAGTCTTTTCCACTTTTAAAAACAGAAAATTTTAGTATTTCCCACTTTAAAAATAGTAAATTTGAGTCCTTGATTTCTAACATTCAAACATGATGATATGGTATGGGTGTATGTCTAATATGATACTATTTCCGTCCACTTTTAATTGTCATAATTTTTTTTTATGATGATAACCTTGACAAACATTTTACAATGTATTTTTTCATCATATTAATATGCAAAAAAAGTTGGAATTTATAGTACTATTCGTATAGTTTTTAAATATCTAATTTTTTTGTTTAAAATATCAAATTACTGTAATCTAATTTAATTTTGAAAATTAATCAAATTAACTTTCGAAAAGCTCAACATAACAGTTAAAAATGGACAGAATGAGTAGTAGTTTTTCCATAAAAGAATTAGGTAAATATGATAGTTGACCAAATCCAAACTTTTCCATTTTATATTATATGAGTGGAGTACAATTCAATGTGCCTAAATCCGATTCAATCCGCCTACTTATCAACCTTACTTTCATGCTCATGCAGAGCTATAAATAGTGGATAGCATGCAACTATATCTTTCAACATCAACCCTTATTTATCAATCATAATAATAATAAGAAGAAAAAAGATGATTTTTTTCAAAATTTCAAACCTTGTTGATCTACTATGGAGAATCTTCATTTTTATTGTTCTTAAAATCACAAACATATGGAATAGTATTATAAGAAAAACATCATCATTGCCTCCAGGTCCAAAATCATGGCCTATAATTGGTAGCTTTCCTCAAATGCTCCTAAACAAAGAGCCACCATTTCATTGGATACACAAAATGATGGAGGAAATGAACACTGAAATCGCTTGCATTCGTCTTGGTACTATTCATGTCATTCCTATAACTTCCCCTGAGCTTGCTTGCGAGTTTTTGCATACTCATGATTCTATTTTCTCATCAAGACCTATTTGTATGTCCGCGAGTCTTATTAGTAATGGCTACTTAACCTCTGTTTTTGTCCCTATGGGTGATCAATGGATGAAAATGAGGAGAATTCTCGCTTCTCATGTGCTAACACCAATATCATTTCACTGGCTTCGTGGTAAAAGGGATGAAGAAGCTGACAACCTTCATCTATCCATTTACAATCAATGTAAAAATCATCAATCTGTTATTAACTTGAGAAATCTGACAAGATATTATTGTGGGAATGTAATTAGGAATATGATTTTTAGCAAGCGATTATTTGATATTATAGAAAAAGATCGCGATGAGCAAGTTGATGCACTTTTTACACTTCTTAAATATCTTCATGCTTTGAGTATATCAGATTACTTACCATGGTTAAGTGTGTTTGATTTGGATGGTCACAAGAAAATTATTAAGAAAGCCTATGTCACAGCAACAAAATACATTGATGTTGAAGTTGATCAAAGGATTCAGATATGGAAAGATGGCAACAAAACTATGGAAGAAGATATCCTTGATATTCTTATCACACTCAAAGATACCAATGGAAATACATTACTGAGTGTTAAAGAGATTAAGGCACAAGTGATGGTAAGTATTCATTCAATTACTATTTATGATTGATACTCTAATTGACCAAGCTTTTTATTTTGAAAATTGCATTTTGTCAAAAGTACTTTGGAGAATAACATTTTGTGTTTGAAAACTATTTTTTCGAAAATATTAGTACAATAATTTATACTAGGTCAAGGTTCTATAAGTGCTTCCGAAAAAAAAATAAATGTTTTTCCAGCTTTTGAAAAACAGATTTTGTTACTACGTACTCAAAAGTATTTTTTTTTAGGAACTCATGTTGGCAACCGTGGATAATCCATCAAATGCAGTTGAATGGGCACTTGCAGAAATGTTGAACCAACCAAAGTTAATGCAAAAGGCCATAAAAGAACTCAACACTGTTGTTGGGATCAATAGATTGGTTCAAGAATCAGACTTGCCAAGGCTAAATTATGTTAAAGCATGCATAAGAGAGGCCTTTCGACTTCACCCCATAGCGCCTTTTAAAGTTCCTCATGTGTCTATCTCTGATGCCATCATTGGTGAAAAGTACTTCATCCCTAAAGGGAGTAGAGTGTTATTAAGTCGTCATGGCCTTGGTCGGAATCCTAGAGTTTGGGAGGATCCATTGAAGTTCAAGCCAGAGCGCCACCTCATAAAAGAAGGTGGTGATGAAGTAGTTTTCACCGATTCAAAGTTACGTTTGTTATCATTTAGCACTGGAAGAAGAGGTTGTCCGGGTGTGAAACTCGGTTCTACAATTACTACAATGTTACTTGCTAGGCTTCTCCATGGGTTTGCTTGGAATTTACCACCAAATTCATCATGCAATGACTTAATTGAGTCATCTAAGACCGATCCTTTTGATACCTTACCTCTTCTTGCTAAGGCCAAACCAAGATTAGCTAAGGTCATGTATCCTTGAAACCCAACTTTCGTTGAAATTTGCTTTCAGTTACTGCAATAATTTTCAAGCGGATAATAAGTTGGGTAGGTTTAGGATGAATTTTATAATTTAAATTTCTAGTAGTATATTATATATATATATATATATATATATATAATGAATGTCTATCTTTTCAAGAAAAGTTAGGGATCAACTCAATTTCCCGTTGTAAATAAATAAAAGAGTTTTCTTCATTATAAGATATAACTCAAGAGAAATAAGAAGTCTTGATCTCTTTTCTTCCTACTATATTCTTATTCTTATTATTTAATAAGTTCATAACAGATTATCAGCATGAGAGTATGCCATCTCGAACAAATTAAATAATTTGATAATATCAAAGGTGTAAGAAGTTACCATGTTATGCTTGATAGAAATGTTAACTTATTATTATAGATCAATTTTACCCTACGCAGAAAAAAATTTATACACTAAATCAAGGGTCACTAATGAATAAACAGAATATGAATTAAAAGGAGAACAGTAAATCAAGTAATTTGATAATTATTACTATTATTATATTTGAATTTTCCTTTCACTACTATATAGAATGTTTAAGAAAAGTATTCTCTTAATGGAATATTAATAAAAATCATTCTAAAAAAATAGTGTTGATAAAATTACTTTTAATAAAACAACATTTTTAGAGTAAAGTTATTCTTTATTAAATCCATTTCCTCTAGCTTATTCTTTTTTCATTTTCTTTTCTTTCCGTAAGAAAAATATTTTATTTTAGAATTTTCTATCTAGAAGTTCAATCGCTTGATGAAAACATTTGAAGTTGTTACATTTAAAGTTTAAAATGTAAGTTTCTATGGCCCACATAGTTATATTTTGATTTGATGATTAAAATAAATTAAATTCTAAATTTGTATGAGAAAGTTAACTGAAAGGGTAAGGTAAGGGAAATAAATAACTTTGTAAGAAGAATAATTAAAAAGAAGATTTTCGCTCAATTCAGG